TCGTATTGAAACTTCCGGAACTTACAAGGAAATCATTCATTTTCTCGGTCCATATGATTTACCTCTTGGATGTTGTGGCAAATGCTCCATGGTTGACGGAACAAAGGTGATATGGTTTCATTAAGATTCGGGTTCTAACCTTTAGAAGGTAAGTCAGACTCCCAAACGTCAGCTAACTCTTATATTTAGCATGTTAGCGACGAAGTCAGGCCTTGAAAAAAGTAGTAGATAATGTAATTACTGTAGGTTTGTGGTCTAATAAGAGTATTAAAAAGTAAGAACATTTTAGGATGAGTATTCTAGCATTCAGAACTTTGTTACATCACGTGCATTGCATCACTGAACTTTCACATGTTCAAAATTCTCTGATTTACAGTATATCATAAATCAGACTACTTTGAGATTATACCATGATCAGACAGTTTCAACTCGGTGATTAAATTATGCTTTATTTGTACTATTGAATTCATTTTGATAGTATTATTAGATCCCTGGATTAGATCAGTATTTCAGGCCTGAAATACATGCAAACTTAATATTGCCTATATCAAAATAGATCATTTTTTCAGTCTTTTTTTGCTCAAGACAACGTTTTAAATCTCGCACATTTCCATCTTTACATAAGTACATCAAATATCATAGATAATCAAAAAACAATAAATTACTGAAATGCAGCAAACTATTAACTAGAATCTTGGGGTGTGTTTCACATAATGCCAGAAAGATGGGTTCGAATATTTTTAGGCAAGATTTTGGGGGAGGTTTGCACAAACCCTCTCCATACGGCTCTGGGATGCAAGTAAATATGACTTATTCTAACCAGTAATCAAACAATGGAATATAACAGACCATTTGTTGCATTAAATGCTTTGACTGACTATAAAGGAATAAATCTGGCAAAATATGACAAGTAAATCTTAAATGTGACAAATGACAATTTTGGAATTTTAAAAGTGACTCATGGCCTCCTTTTAGGGAGCCCTCGTGTTGTTTTATGTATATTTGTTAAATGTATCTGTAACATTCTGCATACATAACATAAAAGTCCTATCTGGATCAAACAAGCTATTAATTGGACACATGTTCAATTAATAGTATGTTTTTCAAAAAAAAATTGCCATACCTGCTATACATGTACATGTTATTTCCTGGTACAATGTAATGTATGTGGGTGTATTTTCATATTTTTTTTCCCAGAAACCATATTTTTACATCTTAGGATAAGTAAGTGAGTTAGAAATAATTTGTAGGCAATCCAGTGCTGATCATTGTGGGATCTGCAGCCTTTACTATCCTTTTGGAATAGTTCTCTCAAAAGCGTTAGGTAAAGAGGGGCACTGATAAATCAGAATGAGTGCTGATAGTTATAGTTCAGTTTTGGAATCAAATTCTTAAAATAACATATGTCATTGAAAGTCAAAACAGTTGGGAATCTTGTAAATATCAGTATTCTATTCTCTAACTTCACAACAATCAACTGGACAACAAAGCATGTCTGGTGTGAAAATTAAAAGAATATTAAGCAATGTTCTACATCCGCCAAGCTAAGTGAAGTAGCCAATATTTAAAATTACCAATTTCAAGTGAAGTATGCAACGAACGAAACTGCGTGATCTACAGTCCCACTATTTGTCTGAACGAAATGCTACGTAGAAATATGAGCCGTCTGCTGTATTAGTCGATTAATAGAGTAAGACCTGTTGGTGATGCTTTATAATTTAGACCAAAACATACATACGAACCTGTAAATCGTGAAAACAACGAACAAATATTCGGTTTTCATATATGTTCGGTAATTTTTCGTATTGAAACTTCCGGAACTTACAAGGAAATCATTCATTTTCTCGGTCCATGATTTACCTCTTGGATGTTGTGGCAAATGCTCCATGGTTGACGGAACAAAGGTGATATGGTTTCATTAAGATTCGGGTTCTAACCTTTAGAAGGTAAGTCAGACTCCCAAACGTCAGCTAACTCTTATATTTAGCATGTTAGCGACGAAGTCAGGCCTTGAAAAAAGTAGTAGATAATGTAATTACTGTAGGTTTGTGGTCTAATAAGAGTATTAAAAAGTAAGAACATTTTAGGATGAGTATTCTAGCGTTCAGAACTTTGTTGCATCACGTGCATTGCATCACTGAACTTTCACATGTTCAAAATTCTCTGATTTACAGTATATCATAAATCAGACTACTTTGAGATTATACCATGATCAGACAGTTTCAACTCGGTGATTAAATTATGCTTTATTTGTACTTTTGAATTCATTTTGATAGTATTATTAGATCCCTGGATTAGATCAGTATTTCAGGCCTGAAATACATGCAAACTTAATATTGCCTATATCAAAATAGATCATTTTTTCAGTCTTTTTTTGCTCAAGACAACGTTTTAAATCTCGCACATTTCCATCTTTACATAAGTACATCAAATATCATAGATAATCAAAAAACAATAAATTACTGAAATGCAGCAAACTATTAACTAGAATCTTGGGGTGTGTTTCACATAATGCCAGAAAGATGGGTTCGAATATTTTTAGGCAAGATTTTGGGGGAGGTTTGCACAAACCCTCTCCATACGGCTCTGGGATGCAAGTAAATATGACTTATTCTAACCAGTAATCAAACAATGGAATATAACAGACCATTTGTTGCATTAAATGCTTTGACTGACTATAAAGGAATAAATCTGGCAAAATATGACAAGTAAATCTTAAATGTGACAAATGACAATTTTGGAATTTTAAAAGTGACTCATGGCCTCCTTTTAGGGAGCCCTCGTGTTGTTTTATGTATATTTGTTAAATGTATCTGTAACATTCTGCATACATAACATAAAAGTCCTATCTGGATCAAACAAGCTATTAATTGGACACATGTTCAATTAATAGTATGTTTTTCAAAAAAAAATTGCCATACCTGCTATACATGTACATGTTATTTCCTGGTACAATGTAATGTATGTGGGTGTATTTTCATATTTTTTTTCCCAGAAACCATATTTTTACATCTTAGGATAAGTAAGTGAGTTAGAAATAATTTGTAGGCAATCCAGTGCTGATCATTGTGGGATCTGCAGCCTTTACTATCCTTTTGGAATAGTTCTCTCAAAAGCGTTAGGTAAAGAGGGGCACTGATAAATCAGAATGAGTGCTGATAGTTATAGTTCAGTTTTGGAATCAAATTCTTAAAATAACATATGTCATTGAAAGTCAAAACAGTTGGGAATCTTGTAAATATCAGTATTCTATTCTCTAACTTCACAACAATCAACTGGACAACAATTAATCATACATGTACATACATATTTTTATCTTTAACATTTTCACAAATAATCATTTTACCAGTATCTGAATTTTTGTGGATTGAACTGCAAAAATAAAGGAAATAGAATTAATAGAAAAATGTTCCAGTTTTTATTGGCCCACCCTGTATGCACTTGGGTTTGTAACCTAAGATGAAAAAAACTAGAGAACTCTGGTTAAGGTTCAGCTGGAAAGTAACATTTTGGTAAAAAATTGCTATACCTGCACATGTTATTTTCTGGTACAAAATTTAGTATGAAGGCACGTGTATATTTCCTTGCATTTTTTCAGGAAAGTATCATTACATTGTCTACTTTTAGTTAACCTGGAAACAGGTCAATGGTAGCTCATGTGTTGTCTGGAAACTTTGAAAGAAAATTTGAAAAAATAGAAAGTGTGAAATATCAGAATTTCCTGGAGTTTCCATTGACCTCTTACCAGATACTGGGGTCCGTTTTTGAAACCATCGTAACTTACGATTTGGTCGCAAGTCATTGTTCATCAAAACAGAGACAAATGGTTTTCTCGGAATCGTAAGTTACGATCGTACGAAAAACGAACCCCAGTATAATTTTTACCAAAATGTTATTTTCCAGCTGTACCTTAAACATCTGTTATTGTTTATGTGTCTCTTTACTCTCACCTTGCACAAAATGTCAACCCTTACAGTTATGTTTCATTATACAACTCTTTTGAACTTTTTTTATAGATTTAACTCATCTTTCAATGTTTGTTTATTATAGTCTTCTACATGCTAAATGTTCTCTGCAATCCCTAAAATAAATAAATATAAATAAATAAATTTTCTTTTTTTGAGGTCAGTGTCTTTCAAGAGAATTAATTCAGATTTCCAGAAATACAGAGGCTAGTATTACATACAGGGTGTCACTACAGCAAAGGAGAGGCATTCATTAGTCTTTATCGATTTGATTAGGTGGAGAGACTGAACTTTGATATTGTTTGTTTTCTCATTATGGAAAGCTCCTTGGAACTCCAGCTCTTTCAAAGAAGTCTGAACCCCTACCCCATGGCCAAATATTCTTTCAAAATCATGCAGTTTTTCAACATTTTAAGCCCTTTTCAAGTACTTTTGACCATTTTTGGGCCAGGAAACAGCACAGGAATTGAAACCTCAAAATTATTTGAAAACAAAACTTCTGGAAAAATGGTTTTAAATTGAAATAAAAATATTGTGAGAAAAAAGAAAACAATTGAAATTTTTCATTAATGTATTTTTATTGACCTTAATACCAAAAATTAATCAGATCAGATGAAACTTCACAAACTGCAAATTATAGAGTCTCAAAGCTGCTTTCCTCATTGCAAAATAAATGATGACAGGTTCCAATACACACTCACATTGATACACACTCATATAGTCTCACCTTTCCAATAGTGTATTAACTCAGAGTAAATAGCATCATTCTTTTGACCTAGGTTTGTTCTATTATATTGTATTTATTGCAGTATTATACATACATGTACATGTAGCTCATGTTCAGTACATAGCACTGGGAGTAAGTCACCCCCCATCTTATATTCTACATGTATATACTAAGTGTTAATATATAGAGGGAGAGTGCCACATATGCTCAAATATGCATATTTCTTTTCAGTACCTCAGCAGTATTAAAATGAGCTGAATCTACTGCTCAACTTATCCATACCCTTACTTTGGCATACCCAGGAAGGGGGGGGCATTAGGTACAACCACCCCTCCCATTGTTAGTCTATTTTACTTATTCCCATGGATTTTCTTGGTGCTGAGGAAGAGGAGACTCGGAGGAAAGAGCAATGTGCTCTGGGAAAGAGGTGGAGAAGCTAAAGTGCAAGACATGATTTTTATTTTTCAGATGTGGTTACACTTCCCCCCCTCCTTGGAAAATCCTATTTTATTTATTTATTTTTTAGTTGATTTAGTGACCAAATAACATGTCATTGAAAGTCAAAACAGATGGGAATCTGTAAATGTCAGTATTCTTTTCAGCTTTCATTCTTTCAGATGTCAATTACCTAGGTGTGGTGCTAGTCAGTGGTGCTAGTATGTAATATCAGTTTATCCTCCAGGTGGCTATCTCAGCTTATATGACATAGGAGACATCCAAACTCATATTATCTTTTAAATAACACAGTTCGAGAATATCAGGATATGGGGATGCCCCCCCCCCCCCTTCCTGGGTATGCCCAAGTAAGGGTATGGATAAGTTGACCCTTTTAACCTAGTTGGTTATTTCCCACCATGCATTCGCTTCATGTGTCCTATTATCCTAAACTTTGTTTTAAAGTTCTTTTGACAAATGTCACATTTTAGAGCTACTGGATTATGAGTACGAATGTGTCTTACAAGAGCAGAATGATTTGGATATGACATAGGGCATAACTTACACTTGTAGGGTCTTATTCCCTTGTGGAGGTTTTCATGTGCAGTCAAATTTACTTTGTCAGCTAATCTCATTGAGCAAAATTTACATATAAATTGGTTTTCACCAGTATGGATTCTGATATGCCTCTGCAAGTTGCCTTTTTCAGTAAAGGTCTTAGAACAGGTTTCACATTTAAAACATTTTCCTTTCTCTCCAGTGTGAATTCTAGAATGATTAATCAAATGTGCTTTCTCAGTATAACTTTTGGAACAGATTTCACATTTGAATGGTTTTTCACCTGTGTGAACCTTCTTGTGACGTTGGAGTTTACTGCTGAATTTAAATGCTTGGCTGCACATGTCACATTTGAATGGTCTTTCCTCCCTGTGGATGAGTAAGTGAGTTTTCAAACTATCTCTTGTAATAAATTTCTTTAAGCATATTTCACATTTGAATGTCCTTTCCCTCGAGTGGGTATTTATATGCCTTTTAAGATTAGATGTTTGTGTGAATCCAGCAGAACATATTTTACATTTAAAAGGTCTTTCTCCTGTGTGGATCCGCATGTGGTTGACAAGATTTGAATTTGAATTGAATTCTCTCATACAGATGTCACACTTAACATCAGTTTGTTGTCCAGTGTGGGATTTCAAGTGCCAAAGAAGGTATGACTTTGAAGTGAATCCCTTTGAACAAATATTACAGTTGAATGGTTTTTCTCTCTCGTCCCATTTGTCCCCAGTGTGGACACGCATGTGTACTGTGTAATCAAACTTCTTGACAAACACTTTAAAACATATTTCACATTTAAGTTCACCATGTTTCACCCATTTTTTATGCTTCTTTAATGATTTAAATGTTTTAAATTTGCTTGAGCAAAGCTTACATTGAAACATTTTTTCCTCTCTGTAGGTCAACATATTATATCTTGTGTTGGATTGAGTGTTCTTGTATCTTTTAGTGCATGTTGGAAACCTCGAATTAAATGACATTGAAGATCTCTTTGTAAAATGCGTTTTACAATTCAGGCATTTTTCCTTTGGATTATGCATGTTCTTGCACTTAAATACAGGACACGAAAATGTGGCAATGGTAGTGTCGTTCCCTGTTGAGGATATCCTGTGATATCTCCTCCAGTTTTGTATCTCCAGTGGGCAGAGTGATACAACAATTTGTTTACTTTCAGAGATTCCTGGATTATTACTTTTGGAAATGTCATTATCATATTTATCATTTTCTCCATCCCCGCAATCACCATCCTCATCATTTAGGGGAAAGCTCCATTTATCCCCATTTCTTAACGTATAGTCTTTATCTTTATCCATTTTGGAAACACACCCTTCGTCTTTTTCATTTTGATCATTTTCAGATATACAGTCAATATCTTTTTCATTTTGATCATTTTCGGATATACAGTCAATATCTTTTTCATTTTGATCATTTTTAACATTTTGAGGAAAACTGTTATTTTTATCATCGCTTTGTGAAATGATATCAATGTTCTCATTAATTTTTAAAATGTTGTCAGTTTGGTCTCCATTTTGAGAAATTACATCAGTGCATTGTTTCTTCAGTGGAAGTTGCTCCATAACTAGGGTATTTGCTGTGTCTAATGCAGATGTATTCCACAGTTTATGGATCTTTTAACCTGGATGGTTCAAGTAGACAATCTGAAAGAATATGCATATGCACCATTTGTACAGTAAAGTATGTCTACAGTAAATACCTTTGGAATCACAAAAAGGTGTTCACTGAAGTAGATGTTTACTGCTAGTGGTAGAACCAACTCTTGAAATCAAAGTTGACTAATTGAGGCACAAAAGTTGAGTTGAAGTCGACTTCTCCTACTTTTCAGTAATAATGTTTGAACATGTAACTTTGAATTTTTTTCCATTATTAATTTTCCCGGGGATTCGATTTTCAACATTCAATTTGAAGTCGACTTTCAGTGAAATACAAGTTGTTGTGAACTTTTCGACTAGTTGTTATACCACTATTTACTGCACAGAGCTTTCATTGATGTATTCACTGGTGGAATTGTTAACTTAAAGAAAGGTGTTTAACAGAAGAGATTTTTTACTGAGTTGTGTTTCATTAGGGGAGTTCAATCATTGAGATAGTTATTAACTGAGAGATTTACTAGGTGTTATTTACTCTTAAGGTTTCAACGCAATAGAATGAACTGTAGTCTATTTTAAAGATTATAGAGCTGTAACAAAGAGGAGTACATTCTTTTTCTATTGTTTTTAAAGAATATAAACTTGGCAAGCTGTCCAAAACCAGTGTGGCACAAAATATGATTTACCATCGCATGGCGTGTAGTTAAGCTGAACTAAGTTTACCCTATTGAATATTTGAAAAGTAAACACAAAAGAAATCAAATATACTGTACCTGGCCTGTTACATGCAGTGTACTGAAGCTGAACTAATTACACCCACGGACTTCTCAATACATAGTCAATTCAAAAAATCAATTTTTCTTAAAATTGGATCATGGACCATTTATCTTTCATAAGAGTCAAGTTGGATTAACCATTCGTTTGTGTCTTAGGAGAATAAATATTATTTATCCTAACCCAATACTCATAGTTTATCCCTTATTGAAAGGTGTTTACTGAGAATACTCGCAAAGAAAAAATATTGTGAAAATTTAAGACCTGTAACCCCTAGGATCTCTCACCAAGCCCTGGTATATCACTACCCTACCCACCCCACAATATACCAGCTATAGAAATAGGGATAAGAATAAGAGGTCTTATCCAATAAAATATTAGGAAATCCCATTAACTAAAATTGGCCTAAAAATAAATGTTTAATTTTATAAAATGTCAATAAGAAATAGTGATGATTTTCTGCCCACAAAGCTTGAATGTTTACTGAGAATCTGAGAATTTGGAAGATTTTGGTGGGAAAGGAATGTCTAGACAAAACCTCTGAGCCTTGTCTCATGAACTCTTGATGTATAATCTAATTATCTAATTTAATTCATTATCTAATTTATGTCCGAAACACATATTTATAAGTAAATTTTCACCCTAAAAAGTATACAAATATTCATAAAATGTGATTTAGATAATAAAGGTATAAACATTTGAAAAGCATTATACAGCAATATTGATGTTTTGGTCCATTGTACTCCAGGTCTTTAAATTTAATCGCTTTTTACTTTGCTTACCTGAAATTTGCAGTCTTCAAGATGATGCCATTTCATTTCAACTAAACTACAGAATTTCACATTAGTTGAATTCATATATCATTGTCTGTCACTCATATCTCAAGAATAATCCTTTCATTCGATTGGCTCTAGAAGAAATAGTTCATGCCTAAAACTGCTCTTATATGATGATACACAACTTAAGCGATTCTTGAACCTTAACACAACTGGGCTTAAGATAGAGTCGTTCAAAAAGGATTTTCGAGAAAACCCCTTCTGTGTGTCAGTGAAAGACCTCTCCAGCTTATGTTTTACAGACAATTCAAAAGTCTTGGCAATTCTACTACCTTTCTTGTGTACTGTTGTGGAACTTTTAAACCTTGATCTGACCTTATACTGATGGAACACTATGTAATAATGTACTTAACTCCAAGTCAATAAAGTTGTATGGTCTTTTAAACCTGTACTTCAACAATTGTCAAAATCTCTTATTAGCTTATAGCTTTTACTAAGTCAATAGAGTTGTATGGCCTTTTAAACCTGTACTTAAACCATTGTCAAAATTTCTTATTAGCTTAAACTTAGCATATAGAACAACTCTTTTGTTATTTTAACTACAAAGCTTGTGATATATCCCTACAAAACAGGATTAATTAAGACGAAATTGTCAAACCCTGGGTGTCAAACCCTTTGTGTCAAACTCTGAAATACTGTTTTTTCGCAAACTTTTTGGGGTCATATGACCACAATTTTCACATGCATGAACCTTGTGCCAAGAGTTAATCTGGCACCAAATCTAAAAGTTATTCTTGCAAACTACTACGAAGGCTGAACCAAAGTAGAAATATACATTCATTTCATGTTGCATGCATTTCAATAACACAAAAATAATTTTTAATCAATTGAACATCATAAAAGATAATTTCAGTGAAAAGAGCAGCGAAATTTATTTATTACAAATATAAGAAATTGATTGAAATTATGTGTTAGACCCCCTCATACATACACAAGAAAAGCTTAAATGGGTTTCGATACAAGGCCAGTGTTTTATTTTTTATTTTCAAAATTCTTAATATTAACACGCTATAAGTGAGTTGCGAAATCTCTTAGATAGTGCTCTACCACTAGTTTTCCCACTAGACGCAGTTCGTGAGGGATATATAGAAGTCACCAGCCTATTCTAACTTTGGTAGTTATTTTCCAGCATGCATGCGCTTCATGTGTCCTATTATCCTAAATTTCGTTGTAAAGGCCTCTTGACAAATGCCACATTTTAGAGCTACTGGATCATGAGTATGAACATGTCTTACAAGAGCAGAACGCCTTGGATATGACATGGGGCATAACTTACACTTGTAGGGTCTTATTCCTTTGTGGAGGTTTTCATGTGAAATTAAGTCTGCTTTTGCATTGAATCTCATCGAGCAAATTTTGCATATAAATCGTTTTTCACCAGTATGGATTCTGATATGCCTCCGCAAGTTGCCTTTTTCTGTAAAAGTCTTCGAACATGTGTCACATTTGAAACGTTTTCTGGTCTCTCCAGTATGAATTTTAGAATGATTAATCAAATATGCCTTCTCAGTATACCTTTTGGAACAGATTTCACATTTGAATGGTTTTTCACCTGTGTGAACCTTCTTGTGACGTTGGAGTTTACAGCTGAATTTAAATGTTATACTGCACATGTCACATTTGAATGGTCTTTCCTCCCTGTGGATGAGTAAGTGAGATTTCAAACTATCTCTTGTTTTAAATTTCTTTAAGCATATTTCACATTTGAATGTCCTTTCCCTTGAGTGGGTATTTATATGCCTTTTAAGATTAGATGTTTGTGTGAATCCAGCAGAACATATTTTACATTTAAAAGGTCTTACTCCTGTGTGGATCCGCATGTGGTTGACAAGATTTGAATTTGAACTGAATTCTCTCATACAGATGTCACACTTAAAATCATACTCTCCAGTGTGGGATTTGATGTGTGTATGGAGGTATTGTTCTGTTACAAAGGCCTTTAAACAGATATCACATTTGAATGGTTTTTCTCTGTTTTCCCAATGATCTGGCTTATGAACTCGCATATGAACAGTGCAGTCAAACTTCCTGGCAAATGTTTTAAAACATACTTCACATTTATATCCATTGTGGTTCTTATTTTTTGTATGAGTTATGAGGGAACCTTTCGTTGTAAATTCTTGAAGGCAGAGTTCACATTTAAAGAGTTTTTTCTTTTTATGGATAAACATGTGTGAAGTAAGCTGGCTCTTTGAACTTAATGTTTTAGAACAGATTTTACATTTGTGTGTTTTCCTAGTAATGGATTGAATTCGCTCTTCTCCTTCATTGTCTTTCAGTAGTAAGAATCTCCTTGTAAAATGTGTATTACATTTTAAGCATCTTTCCTCATGATTGTGTTTAACCTTACACTTCAATACAGGACATGTTTCATTGCGATTCTCCAACCAGTTTTGTATCTCCAGTGGGCACAATGATACAACAATCTGTTTACTTTCAGAGCTACTTTGGCTGTTGTTGTCAGTATTCTGTGCCTGATTTTGGAAGAAGGCTTCATTAACATCATTATCTTCATCATTGACGGAGTTCACTGTAGTGTGATTTTGACTCTCCCGGAGGTGCCTCATGGATACCAATGTCTTGTCTGCAAGCTTTGTCGATTGTTTCACTTGTTTGTATGTTATAAGCTTTCCAGTGGTGCAATCTGAAACACAATGCCAAATTGTCAGACTAATATATTATGTATTGTCAAAGAGAATAGAAAACCAAAACTCTAAGTAGCTGTCACATAAGTCGTGTTAAGGCTCAACATTTGACACCATCTTGGCTCACCATTCGCCCCCATGTGCGTAATTTTGGGCATTCATTTTTATCCCTTTGAACGAAGTTCGGAGGGATATAGGTAGAGGTCGCAACGGTACTGAAAACCAGTACCGGTAACCGTCACGCTAATAACCGTACCGTTACCGAAATACCGGTAAAAATATGTAAGATAAAATGCCAATGCGCTGCCACCCCCACTTTGTTCCTAACTCTCTCCGTAGCTTCTCATGTCTATATGCATACATGGTGCAAGACCGATTTGAAACCATACTGATGAACTTCACGAAATAGTATGTAACTACTGTATCTTACGAATCAAGATGTATTTTTAGTTTTAAATTAAATGTATTACACATTTCAAACCATTGGGTAGTGGGGTAGGTAAAAACATATGCTATTCCTGCGTCATCTGTGTCAAGTTAACGTCAGTTCAGTGAGCTGGCAACACCATCACTTCCAAACGGGCACGACTTCAACCTGAGGTTGTCAATGCCTTGTTGTTCGTAAATGACTATTACAAACATAATTCAGTTTCTGGATCTGACGTTGACACTTCAACTACACCGGACATAACTACAACCAAATCTGAGCCTGAGCATGAAGCTACTACACCCGAACTGCCAAACATGGACATCACACCTGAATTGCCAAACATGGAAATCACTCCTGAACTGCCAAACATGGACATCTTAATGTCTATGTAAATGTACGCATCGTGAAAGTGGAAATTAAACGAAATAATAAAAAACGACGTGTCTTTTATTTCCCCGGGGAGTTATCGTCGGTTAACCGGTTAATAATTTCAATACCGGTAAATGCTCAATTCCGTACCGAAACCGTATAACCGGAATTACCGTCAGCCTCTAGATATAGGGAACACCTCCGTCCGTCCGTCCGTCCAGGCAATAACTCAAATACCGTTGGCCCGATTTTGTTCATATTTTGTACACATATACCCTATGGCGGTAGAAGTTCTGCTCGAAAGCCAATTTTCAAAATGGCCGCTCATTTCAAAATGGCGGCCATTTTAGTGCCGAATTTACAGTAATTTTGGTGCAATATGTAAAACTGTAATAGCATGGGCGTAGCCAGGGGGGGTGCGATGGGTGCGATCGCACCCCCCCCCATAACCTTTGAAAATATGACCATTGGATAGAGGAAGAACAGAGCTTTAAAATGCTTTTTATTTGAAGCTTCTAGCTCAATTTTGAAGGAAGTTGCATCAATTTTTGTAAAATTCAAAAGAAATCTTAATTTTTTGTGTTGCTTATGCAAAAATCGCACCCCCCCTGACCGAAAACTGAAATTTTTTCGGCGATCGCACCCCCCCTGACTGAAAGCTGGCTACGCCCCTGAATAGCAATATGTTTTAGATGTAAAAAAATTATATAGGACATTAATAAAGCTAGAAATGTAGATATTAAAGAAGCACATGGCAGCCACCTTGAAAAATGGCGGCCTTTACTCGTTATTTTACGATTTTTGCTGTAACTCGAAAAGTAGTGGAGCGATTTTGTTCATATTTGGTATGTGAATACTATAAACATTGAACACTGTCTAAAGACACTTTTGGTAGAAGGTGGCCATTTTAAAAAATGGCCACCATTTTGAAAAATGGCCGCCATTTTAACCTATTTTACTATAACTCAAAAAGTAGTGAAGCGATTTTGTTCATATTTGGTATGTGAATACTATAAGGATGGCACACTGTCTAATGACACTTTTGGTAGAAGGTTTCAAAATGGCCGCCATTTTAACATATTTTACTGTAACTCGAAAAGTAGTGGAGCGATTTTGTTCATATTTGGTATGTGAATGCTAAAAGCATGACACACTATCCTATGACACTTTAAGTAGAAGGTGGGCATTTTGAAAAAAATTTTGAAAAATGGCCGCCATTTTAATGTATTTTTTAATAATTCGAAAAGTAGTGAAGCGATTTTGTTCATATTTGGTATGTGAATACTGTAAGCATGGCACACTGTCTAATGACACTTTTGGTAGAAGGCGGCCATTTTTCAAAATGGCCGCCATTTTAACGTATTTTACTATAACTCGAAAAGTAGTAGAGCGATTTTGTTCATATTTGGTATGTGAATACTATAAGTATGGCAAATGGTCTAATGACACTTTTGGTAGAAGGCGGCCATTTTGAAAAATGCCTGCCATTTTTGCTATATACTTTGTTTGTAAAAATGCCATCCATGGCTGTTCGATGGGATTCGCTACGCTTTGGGGTTGCCGTTGTTCTGGTTTTTAATTATTTTTAATTGAATCGGTTTATTGATTAATTTCTAATTGGTTAATCGATATTTTGCTGTAAAACTATTTGTTTTGCCCACCGTGTATCCATGCCATGCCCTTATGTCTTCCCCCGAGTATTCACACGATGGTGAACGGTGAGCGCACATACTCAAATAGCCTAAGTGTGACAACTCGATAAGTAAATACTTCCATGTCTTCATTCTTTACTTTGATCCAATAAATAACATTAGGCAGATCATTGTCTATGTCAATGATCTGCAAGACAAATGGGCCCTTTAGAGCAGATACTGTAAAACATGTTAAATTCACGAGCATCTCTAATACGTGTGAGTGTAAAATCGCGAATTCGGGATCCCGCGAATTTAAAATTGGACATCACAATTTTTACCTGAGTAACGTGAATGAAGAATTGAATATAATAGTATTTCTTAATGTGTTTTTTCTATTTTATTCAAGTTGTGTATGCAATTATAAAACAAACATCGTGAAAACTAATTTAGAAGTCATGTTAAGATATATTTGTTTATTTCAATACAACATAGTATGTTTTAAACAATAAAACATGTACAATATAAGGTTAGTTAAAAACAGCGTTTGTTGTTTTAATATACCATTATAAATCATAAAATCGTCATAATTGTCATTTAAGTTTAAGTAAAAAGATAAAGTTTAAATACTGCACTTTGTTAAGATGCGTCATGGTTAAAATGTTAAAATTGTTCTTTCCATTGGGACTTATATCCTCTGATTCCTCCATTCACACATTCCAATCAACAGGTATTAACTCATGAGAAGAAAGTTTGTAAGTTTATTTCTAGGATTATTTTTATAATTAATCTCTCCCGAGTTTTATTTCAATCAAAAAACAACAGGTGTCAATCATGACTAGTTAATTAACAGGATAATACCCTTAGAAATGGCCAATTAGAGTAATAATCCCAAACAATCATATCTAAGTGCACTCAATATTTTCCGAAACAGGTTTTATTTCTTATCATAATTCAATGCAATTCGACAATTAACTTATTCGCGAAAACTGCTCCCGCGAATTTAAAGTGTTTTAGAGTATATAGTTTAACATCCATAGAATTTGAATAGAATATACATGTAATTGAAATCTTAACATATAACAAAGAGCCATGGTTTGATTTCAACTCAATTTAAAATTGTATGTTCTGAGAGAAAACCAAACGGTCAGATATAGAAATTTTCTCAAAAATACGAATATTAAGAGCTTTGATTTTAAAGTATGTGTACTTACTGAGTTCTCCAGATGCACTCATAAATACTGCTGTTTATCAAATATATCTACTCATTGTATATTTCTTATATCCTAACTGACACTTTTGCTGTATATATTTGTATTATAATTATCACAAACTTACACCAACTGACAGAAATGTTTGCTAAACACATTAGCAATAGATGGATTATATAATATTACATGGTATTTCTTGTTGAAACTGTTTTGCAAATACACCTTTGGACCTTAACCTCTTGAATCCAATAAGGCTCTAAAATCTGTTGGAACAGAGAATAATCTCATTTTTGCCACCTTTTGACGTTTTACTACATACCTGTACAACTTTAGATGATCAACATAGTAAAATTAGATGGCAGAGATCATTTCTATACATTTTAAAACAATTTTTGTGTATACTGGAATAAAATTGTTCAAACAAGAGCAATTTTAGTAAAACATTTGCTGACTGATTTTCTCATAACTCTTGGTTTCAAAAATTGTTTATCAACTTTGAAATTTTTTTTTTTAAAATGTGACTTCTAGTTTCTAAGAGATTCCCCATAGACACCATGTTACAAAATAAACACTGGGCATAAAAATAATGTGAAAATTGAACTACTGAAACAGATGTAATTTAAGTTAAATGGAACTTTCTACTATACCCGCCATGCTATCTGACCCGAATGAGCCACCTTGTGATGAACCTAGTAACTACCTACTCACATTTACGTTATTTGCTGCAGTCTTACGTGTGTCTGAAATACGTACATGTACAGTAAGAATACATATGTACCTCACTCCTTGAGACACTATCATGTTTTATCAGTATGCAAGAGATAACAGACTGAATTTTGATAGTGTATGAAGTTTTCAGTGAAGGGGTGGTTATAAAGATATCGTGATAGAGAGGATAAGTTATTACACATTTAAAAGACCTTATATGTGAACATGTGGAATCCTGGCCCTTTTGAGATTAATTCAATAGATTACCATTCAATTATATATCTAGTTTTAGAAGGAGTGGTCATAAAGTTATCATAATAGGGAGAATATACTGTTCACCGTTATACAAGAAGGTCTTATATTAAAATCTTCTTTTATTCCAAACATTCGGAAAATGTAGGTCTTTATTCTTAAAAAAGTGAAGAAATGGTCTACTAATCAATGAAAACTGTCAGTTAAGAGAGATTTTGCTCATAAGTGAAACCATTATGGTTTGATTTTATGCATATCACTACTAAGCACGAGTGAAATAAAAAAATTGTAAAAAGAAATAGTTATACAGTACATATGGATTATATATTTTATCAATCAATTCTAATGATATAATTTTATCCAAAATGAACAGTTTTCATGTTTCTCCATTTCTCGACACTTGGATGTCACTTTGATTCCCAACAATAATGTATTGATTTATAATCAATGGCTACCATTTAAACATAAACATTATATTTTAATAAACATGTATTTTTTTATTATCATGTTATGTTGAATCATGTTTTGATACTATAATATGTCAATAAAATATAAAATATCATGGGCGTAGCCAGGGGTAGGGTGGTGTGATGAGTGCAGTCGCATTTTCTTAGACCTTTCAATATAGTTATACAAAGGAAAAGTTGGTTGATTTAACAAAAAGTGTTTAAAAAATTAAAACAAAAACCCTAAAAATAGATAAAAGTTAAAGTAAACCTTTTATGTCATTAACAAGATACTTTTTTTAAATCAACCAAACTTTCCTTTGTACAGTTACAATATTGAAAGATCTAAACACATTGTGTTTTTGTCGTTTTGTTCCATTGAGGTTCAGATAGATGTTTTGTTTCATTCCGAATATATGATACCAAGAACAAAAGAAGTGTCTAATGTGCTTTCTAAAAAAATATAGAGAGAAGTACAGGTATATATACTTTTTCAAAATTACCATTCAAAAGATGATCACTAGTTTGATGATCTGTTCAATTTTTTTTCCAGAACATTTGATGACTGGTTCAAGAGAAACATGTGTTCAATTCAATTCGCCATATTGATACCAATCCTAATAAATACAAATAAGAGGAAGGAAACCCCCATAATTCATACCCTTTGCATTCGTTTGACTTCACTTCTTAAAAGAGAGCTTCGTCTTCACTCTTTCAAACTAAAATAAACCTGTGAACTCACCGCGCCAATCAGTGTTCGTCGGCCAAATTTGACCGACGTTCTTTATATGGTCATTCCTTCTGACATCATCGTTGAGCCCGGAATTGACCAATGACATGCGCATATTTAATTAGAACGCATTTGGCGTATGTTTCTTCAAGCTCGCTGATTAGCGCGTAGGTCAAAAGTGATATACCGAAACTGTCACCAGTACCCGTCGTGGGGGCGGGGCTACTTACTGTAATATGGTCTCTACTAGGCAGAGTGTAGTTTAACTAGACTCTGCACGCAGGGTACATAATTCAAAGATGACTCTTAAATGGAAAATTATATAGAAATGACCCTCAACACTGATTGGTCAAATGACAAAATTTTGTAAAAACTCTTCGAATAATTTAATATTAAATTTTGATATATTTATCAATAATAACAAGCCCGTAGTCTAGGCCCAAAATTTTTCAATATTATATGCAGTTTTCACCATTCTGAGCACATTTCAAGTGATTTTTGGCCACAGTTGTCAAATGTGAACCATTTGAAATTTTTTGAAATGTGAACCCCCTTAGCAAAAACTGACTATGGGCCTGGATATTAGACAAATATTTTATTCTATTGAGATGAATACATGTCCATCTTTATATAAGCAATATTATATTCCCTGCCTGGAGGGTTAGGAGTATATTAAACTGCAGGTATTCACTGAAAATAGAATATTTGTTTTATTATTCATTGTTTATATTCCTCACAATCTCATAAGGTCACCATTAAATGCAAATTGGCTTACCTGTGTCAGTTTTTATTTAGAAGTCATGCCTCCAAATTATTCAATTCAATTCAATTTAAGGAATATGTTTCCATTGATTGCAACATCAAGTTCATGTCTGGCATTCAGAATCTAGATGGTAGATTTGATTTGATTTGGCAAATGAAGGTGGTAAGCAAGAAAGATATTTGTGATGTCTTCTCTGACCTCGATTTCGATGTCACCATGGTTTCAGAATCAATGTTTCTACCCATTTGTGAATCTATGCATCTGCTATTTGCAGAAGTTACAAATACTCATTTTTTTCAGTTAATATTTTGTAAATTTTTATATGATCTAGAGGCTGTAAAATGTGAATTTTGAATGTCAGTGATGTATTACCATGTTATTATATTTAATCTACTGTAGGTACAGTATACCTCAAGGCCTGTAGCCAGGGGGGGGTTCGGGGGGTTCAGGCGAACCTGAATTTCTTTCAAAATTATGCAGTTTTTCACCATTCTGACTATTTTTTGAGTGATTTTTAGCCAAATTTACCAAAGTGAACCCCCTAGAATTTTTTGGAAAAGTGAACCCCCCTTGGGAAATTCTGGCTACGGGCCTGACCTCATATACTCATCACTATTTATATATATTTTCAGGTTCCCGTGCGGTGGGGTTGTAACTGGGTTTGAATATTTCCGCATCAACACCGACTCTATAGCATTTATAGGAATATGGAGGCCAACACCTGGATCTGAGAATCACACTCTAATAGCCAAGACTGCAATGCAACCTGGACCTCTTGGACCAAGTGTACAAACACTTACTACACCTGTAAGAGTAGAGAAAGGGGATTATATAGGTAGGTTATGATAGTCTTGCCCATCAAATCTCTAACCTCAGGTCTCTGATCTATTCGGATCTCTGACCCCTCCCCCAGCCCTGACCTCTTTGAGCCCTCCAGATCTCTGACCTCTGCAGATCCCCAACTCCTCCCCCATGTCTAACTTCTCCAGATCTTTGACCCCTACCCACATCTCTGACCTCTGCAGATCCCCATCTCCCCCCCATGTCTAACTTCTCCAGATCTTTGACCCCAACCCACATCTCTGACCTCTGCAGATCCCCATCTCCTTCCCCATGTCTAACTTCTCCAGATCTTTGACCCCTACCCACATCTCTGACCTCTGCAGATCCCCATCTCCTCCCCCATGTCTAACTTCTCCAGATCTTTGACCCCAACCCACATCTCTGACCTCTCCAGATCCCCATCTCCTCCCCCATGCCTAACTTCTCCAGATCTTTGACCCCAACCCACATCTCTGACCTCTCCAGATCCCCATCTCCTCCCCCATGTCTAACTTCTCCAGATCTTTGACCCCAACCCACATCTCTGACCTCTCCAGATCCCCATCTCCTCCCCCATGCCTAACTTCTCCAGATCTTTGACCCCAACCCACATCTCTGACCTCTCCAGATCCCCATCTCCTCCCCCATGTCTAACTTCTCCAGATCTTTGACCCCAACCCACATCTCTGACCTCTCCAGATCCCCATCTCCTCCCCCATGTCTAACTTCTCCAGATCTTTGACCTTTCCAGATCTCTATGATATGATACATATAATTGTTACCTGTTATTGAAAGAATGAGGTAGGTGGGAGAGGGGCTATATGTACCTAATTCTTAATACAGAATAAAAAAATTAAAAATATTCTTTATAATAAGGCTTGCATTAAAGTTAATTTTTGTTGAATAGTACTTCTTAACATATTTCTAGGTGTGCATTATGATGCTGCCACTAAGTCTGTGGCAATTCCCAACTCTAGGGGTGGGGATGATGTAGTTGGTCCCACAGAGTTGTTCAGGACAATCAATGGAGCGCTATATGATGCACAGGCCAAAGTAGGAACCACATTTAACCTAGCACGATTTCAAGTGATAAAGAGTACATATGCAATAAGAGCTATGTTTCAAGGTAAGTTTGATACTAGAGGTTATGTGTGTTTTAAGTTTTTATAGAAAGATGGCAATAAAATCATCCTGTTTAGATTATACTGCCATCTTTATATTGGCTTAAACATACAATAGATCCTATTTTTGTTTTTAAATAGATACAGAAAAAATTTCCAGATTTGAAAAAACTTTACAGGTGATACCATGTAATAATAGTTAATCTAAATATTGATTGTTCATTTGGCTTATTCTGCCTTTACATGGTACTTTTTCAAAGACTGTAAATTCTGAATGTCTCGCTTCTTTTGGGATGTTATTGCTAAGGAAAGTATGATGCAAGTTAATGTTTAATTTTTACACATACATGTATGCGTAAGTAAATACACTGAGATATGCGTAAGTAAATACACTGAGATATGCGTAAGTAAATACACTGAGATATACACATTAATGATCAAGTTCTTTTTTGGTGGTCGGCAATCTGCATTTGGCTTTTGGTGGTCAGTGTCCGGTGTAAGTAACAAATGGCAGGTGGTGACATTTTCGATGCCTTGTCTACACTTGACTCTTATATTATGCATATATACTTTTGCTGAATAGATAAAAAATAAATGGTAGATCCTTGATAACGGCACCCCATATAACAATGACACATGTAAATGTTTCAGGGGAGTCATTCACTGAAACGGAGACCCCCAATGATAACAAAGTATACTGGATCACTGATTGGCTGGACCTAAGAGAACGCAACTATATACTGTTTGAGCTGAAAACTTGCAAAGCTGGCTCCATCTATCTTGCGCCCAAGGAAACTACCAACTACACCCAGGTATGAGCTGAAGAAATTATTTGAAAAATATTCAAGAAGAGTTTTTGATAGTCTTTGCTGACGATGCCAGAAATGTCATTATTGAGTCCTTGGAGTATGACATGATGTACAAAGGTTTTTATAGTCATCAGCTTTTGCACTCATCACATAAAAAAGTTCAAACAGTGATTTTATTGCAAATCTTGTGTTTTATTGGTACACACCAACCTCTACACCCTTTACATGAACCTCTACACCCTTTACATGAACCTCTACACCCTTTACATAAACCTCTACACCCTTTACATAAACCTCTACACCCTTTACATGAACCTCTGCACCCTTTACATGAACCTCTACACCCTTTACATGAACCTCTACACCCTTTACATGAACCTCTACACCCTTTACATAAACCTCTACACCCTTTACATAAACCTCTACACCCTTTACATGAACCTCTACACCCTTTACATGAACCTCTACACCCTTTACATGAACCTCTACACCCTTTACATGAACCTCTACACCCTTTACATGAACCTCTACACCCTTTACATGAACCTCTACACCCTTTACATAAACCTCTACACCCTTTACATAAACCTCTACACCCTTTACATGAACCTCTACACCCTTTACATGAACCTCTACACCCTTTACATGAACCTCTACACCCTTTACATGAACCTCTACACCCTTTACATAAACCTCTACACCCTTTACATAAGCCTCTACACCCTTTACATGAACCTCTACACCCTTTACATGAACCTCTACACCCTTTACATGAACCTCTACACCCTTTACATGAACCTCTACACCCTTTACATAAACCTCTACACCCTTTACATAAACCTCTACACCCTTTACATGAACCTCTACACCCTTTACATGAACCTCTACACCCTTTACAACATCTGAACCCCTATGCTTACAGGTTTACCAAGTAGAAATAGGTGGCGCTGGAAACACTCAGTCATTCATAGCCAAAGGACAGAACACATATCCCAGAAAGGTTGTAGTCAAGACACCTTACATTGTGGATTGTAACCAATACAGACAGTTCTGGGTATCATGGGTACCTACCACACAGGGTCTAATGGTAAGTTTGTGAGAACCTTTCCTCATAAGGTCCTTATTCCCTAGTATTTCTTTACAATCTAGAATTACTGTAATTGTATTTCATTGCTGATTTAACCCCTTTTCACAAAAAATGATGATTGAAAAATGTCAATAATTGAAAGTATGACATTTTAGAACTACTCTATGAACTTTATATTCAACACCTTTGAATACATTGCCTAATTTTGCAATATTCAATGTATCTTCTCATCTTATAATTGAAATGCTTATTTTGTATTGTTTATTGTAGATCAGTGCAGGAGAGGGACTGTGTCAAGGAGTTAATACATTCATGACATGGACTGATCCTGATACATTCCAAGAGGGAGTGTATGTTAACTCAGTTGGATTCGGATCATACCTGGGTGCTAGAGGCTATTGGAAGTTTTACAGAAATCTGGTCAACCCTGATTGCCATGTCAGTAAGTAACATGAAATCATCGCAATAACTGCACTGTTTTGTCGTGATCTTTTTAAAGTGGATGTCTTGCAAAGGACACATAAGTGGGGGGTCTGGTAAACCTGGGGTAAACCAGAATGCCATGAAATCAGTCCACGTGAAGATTCCTATTGTAAATCTACATTTAACTCCTGAGAAGAAATAATTCGTATTATCATGATTTTTGAACTAGAGATACAGCTTGTAAAAGTTTTTCACTTTACAAATAATGGCGTCTTTTAAAAATCATATTGTTTATACTTTTCAGAAAGTGGTCCTTTCTACTTGCAATCCCAGAACTTTCCAGAATACTACTTTGGCTACAATGAACGAAAAGAGGCATATCTTCTCAAAGGAGAACAGCACCCATGGTTCACTCTTGAACCAGGCCTAAGTGCTGCTGGGAACAACACCGTCTCCTTTCAGTCATCTGAATTCCCAGGATTCTATCTTCGTCACTATGGTTACCTGTTATTCCTAGAGCACAACGATGATCCTAGAAATGAAAAAATATTCTACGAGGATGCCACATTTATAATGAGAAAGGACAATTGGTACCCAGGATATGTAGACTTTGAGTCTGTGAATTATCCAAATCATTTCATTAGACATCAAAATTACCGCCTGAAGATCAGTAAATACCAAGACAGTGGATTGTTTAGAATGGATGCAAGCTTTAGGATTGTACAAGGTATGACAAATTTAAAGTGGCAACAAATGATATACATGTTAGATACAATTTAAAATGGCCAATTTAAAGTGGCATCAAATGATATAGATATGAGGTTAGGCCAATTTAAAGTGGCAACAAATGATATAGATATGAGGTTAGGCCAATTTAAAGTGGCATCAAATGATATAGATACAAGGTATGGCCAATTTAAAGTGGCAACAAATGATATAGATATGAGGTTAGGCCAATTTAAAGTGGCAACAAATTATATAGATACAAAGTATGGCCAGTTTAAAGTGGCAACAAATGATATAGATACAAAGTATGGCCAGTTTAAAGTGGCAACAAATGATATAGATATAAAGTATGGCCAATTTAAAGTGGCAACAAATGATATAGACTCTGGGAGTTCAAAATCTGGGAAGCAACCTTTACAAGAGAAAAGCTATTCCTGTGTTTCCCTTATAATTCCTTAATGTAATCTGAATAACAATTTGAGACATTTGATCAAATATAGAAGTCATTGAGTATTTAAGATGCAGAAATGACCAACTTATTTAAAAGTGAAAAAGATGACAAAAGCTTTTTCCAACAATCCAACATTTTAGTTTGACGGCCACAGGAATAACACATTGTAGAGTTTTATGTTTATTAAATGAGAATCTTTGCATTTACTTTTCAATTTAATACATAAATACTTTTTAAATCCCAGAATGCAAAGACAGTATGCAAGGCAGGGACTACACTGGGAAAGTTGCCCAGACCAAATATGGTCTCCTCTGTCAACGATGGGACGCACAGACACCACATTCCCATGGCAAGACTGACCCCAATAACTTCCCAGACCTCACTCTGTCCGATGCCAACAACTATTGCCGTAATCCTGATGGGGAACCAGGTGGACCATGGTGCTATACTACAGACCCTGAAGTACGCTGGCAGTACTGTGACATCCCATACTGTCGTAAGTTACATATAATCAATGAACCATTTGGAGGTGGACTGGCAAAATTGTGTACCCCCAGTGTATACAATGATGGACAGTGATGCCATCAGTAAATAAATGATTGTCATAATTTGATGATATAAAAATAAATTGAAATAAAGTAAAAATAATGACAATCATTTCTTCATAAAATTAACATGTTGATATATTTTCAGCAAATGTGACACCACCTCCTCCCTCCCCCACTACCCCTCTGTACCCTGGGGTGTGCCCCAGTAAGGTGGGGAGGCCTGCTACAGAGCTACCTAGGCGTGGAGGCAACTGGGCTCATCTAATGGTGGACAATCAGTTCCCCTGTGATGGTTATGTAACAGCATGGGAGTACCAGAGATCTACACCTGACACCAAAGTAAGTTTGTTTGTTTGGTTTTATGTGATTGGTTGCTTGTTTATACTGCTTATATATTATTTGAGAGAATGTTCTGAAGACTGTTTTAAAAAAATTCTCATGATTTTACAAATGTATCGCTCTGATCTTCGTTTCATCCATGGTATTTATGTCTATTTCAAAAAAATGTTTTTGACTTTATAATCATCGATTCTGAGAGTTACATTGTAACTATCTGGCAGTTCAGGTCCTTTTTTCAATTTTCAACGAATTAACTTTGACATGTTTGCATGTAATACTAGCATTAGTGAGACATCTCAATCAATATTTTTTTTCAGAATATAAAATTATGATTGTGAAGAAAACTTTGAAAATATTGCTTCCTACATTTTTAACTCTCTACTTTTCTAATCTAACACAATTCTTGTAGGTATATTTTGGTGTTTGGAGATACGCTGGAGGGAGCATGGATGTACTTGTGGGTAAGACCTTGATCCCGCCTAACACACCAGGGTTTCACATAGTGGCCATAGACCCACCCATTCCAGTAAGTTGATGTTTACTTTGTATTTGAATTTACTTGTTTGTTTACTGTATATTACTCTATTATACCTAACCCCTAGAAATGCATAAGACACTCTGTTTGTCTAATTGTATTGTTTAGTATATTTTGCAAGTACCTTATTAACATGAACAGTCTTCCGATAAACCATTAATAAGGAACAGACAAATAAAAACAAATACATAATCATTACTAATAAGCCAAATGGGTTGCTCATGAACACTAAATGCAAGGTACATGTATAGTAGAGTGATATTGTATGTGATTCTAATACATGAAGGAAAGCATAATCCTTATGTTTGTAAGAAGTAACACAAACAACTATTTGAAGTATTTCAAAGATAATTAATTAGACTATCTACTGTATGGACAAAAACTGAGAAATCAAACTATCAACTTTAATAGAGCCAATTAATCCACAAAAATACTAAGATACATAATAATAAGATTAATATTAATGAAATTGACAAAGTTACATGAAGTGACCTCTATGTACATGTACTCTTAGTTCATACTTCCAATTGCACCCTGATTTTGGATGATTGTGAAGAAGAAAATAGGTGAAAGGAAAATTGTGCAGTTTAGAATATACAGCTGTAGGAGAATGCAGCTTTATATGCGCAGCATCATTGGACCTCACTTGATCATCTCGTGTTGTTTCTAGGTGAAAATAGGAGACTATATAGGTATACACTATGCAAAGAATGACACCAAGCCAGCAGTACCTAACTCCAGAGGGCTGGATGGTGTCGTAGAATACTCAGAATTGTTCAGGTAAATACAACCAAAAAATGTCTTCATATGCTAGATAATAATTTGAGAGGTGCTCAAGATTTATTTTATGAATAGTTATGCTCTTAAATGTTCCTTTTCTATCTGTTTTTGTTGTACTTTTTGTCATTTACCTTATGGCGCTTGTGCTTACATTATGATAAATATTTAGGTATAGATCATCTTCGTTCACTCGGCTCCCGTCGGTCGATGAATGCAGTGAAGACCGAGCGTGCGAAGATGGGTATAGATGTGATTGGTACAGTTTTATCTATTTTTTCATTTTTAGGACGCTTAATGCCCCATTGTATGATGAAGACTTCACTGAAGGCGTACCTATAGATTTTGCAGCATATTCTATCATCAGAAGCACACATGCTGTCAGGGCACATTTTACAGGTAAATCACTGGACCATTATTGTTATTATTATATTTTAAAATAATATTTTGACATTTCTGTATAATTCTATATATTGAAGTGGAAACAATTGAAAATACTACTAATCAAAACAAAGAAGTTTTTCCTTGTTTCAGTAATTTTAGTAAATGTCTAAAAATCTAAATTAAGTAGCAGAAAAAACATTCAATGTGTGCTGTAATTTTTGCAAATAACTTAAACTGAAAATGTAGATTAGAAAAGTTTCTGTGCTTACAGTTATTCTTGTAAATGACTTAAACTAAATAATAGTAGCATAAAAAATTAATCTACCTAATGTATAAACTTATGACATTAGATAATGAAAACTTAATGTTGCAGGACATTTCATCCATATTTGCAGTAATCATTTTTTACCTTGCAGGCACTGGGACCAGACCCCCAATTCCACCCTCAACAATAAGCCCTGTCACCCCAGGGAGAGATGGTATGTGAAAGAATCTGCTAAAAAACCTCACAGTTTAGCAATGTTGAATGTGTATCTTTGATTTTCTATCATTTAAGACCTGCTTTAAATGATAAATGATAAACCTTTTGAAAATTGATAATACATGTACATTTATTATTTTGAAATACTGAAACGCCAGAAATGAAAAATGTATGTACTGGTATATACATTTCAATGTTAAAAAGGAAGTCCTTAGAATTGCCCATTCTTTATTATAAAGACTATTACCTGACATGAATAAATGTATGATTTTAGAATGTAAATATTCAAACCTTGGTAAAGAATATATGGGAAAACTAGCTCGCACAAGAACTGGGAAACTCTGCCAACGATGGGACAGCCAGACTCCAAATAAACATGACCGTAACGATCCTAGCCTGTTCCCTGATCGTACATTAAAGCATGCTAACAATTATTGCCGTAACCCAGACAACAAAGAGGATGGACCCTGGTGCTATACAATGGAGCCAGGCACCCGCTGGGAGTATTGCGATATACAATGGTGTGGTATGTAGCGTTAAGCTTTGTTTTATCATTTTTAGAAAGATGGGTATTAGTCTGTTGATTGCAGAAAGTTAGCCATGCCAGGTTCATGATGAATGCCCATATTTCCCGATTGGTTTCAAATTTTACTTTTGAACCATGGGCTTTCAACAGAAAGCATCTAGCTTGAATTATTGGCTCTGGCTACATTTTATGAATTCTGTATATTACGTTAGTGTATTCATCCTAGAAGTTTTTTTATTTTATTTTATTTTACAATGCACCACATTAAGCAGCAGTCTTAACCAGAGACATATACATGTAAAACATGTACATGCTTATTATTGTTATCAGCATTTTGTAACATTAACACTGAAATTAATTCATATAACATGAGACTTTATAAAAAATGTCTCATCATATTCTAGATTGCAAGATCACAACGTTAGGTAAAGAATACAATGGCGAGAGAACATCAACAGCATCATCGAAGAGTTGTCAGCGCTGGGATTCCCAGTGGCCCCACAGTCACCCTCCTTACAGCCCTACAGATTTCCCTGAGAGAAACCTAACAGCTGTTGCCAACAAATGTAGGAACCCTGATGGGAGGCCGAATGGTCCTTGGTGTTACACCACTGATCCTGCAACCATATTGGAGTACTGTGATGTTAAATTATGTGGTATGGTTTTAGTTTTTCAGTAATTCAGTAATGTTCAATCTTTAAATTGAACAGTGCTTTTTAGCTCACTTAAGTGGTTATTTTTCCAGGCCTATCAGGCCCGTAGCCAGGGGAGGTTCAATGGGTTGGAGCACCCCCCCCTGGCCAAAAAATCGTTCAAAATCATGCAGTTTTTCACCATTCTGAGCACTTTTGGCCATTTTTGGACCAAAATTGTCACAAGTGAACCCCCCTGGAATTTTTCAAAAAGCAAACACCCCCTTGGCAAATCCTGGCTACGGGCATGCCTGTCCTATATTTTACTTTCTTGTAAAGGTTAAAAACTCTTTAAAGAACTGGTGAAATATTGATGTCACCATGTATTTGCTTTGTCTGTCCATCTGACCTTCTATCCATCAATAAGGTTTCAACAAAAAAAGTGCCATTCATTTGAATTCATGCTCATACCAATTTTTATGGGGTACATGCTATATCTAGTAATTTACACCATTGGTCCCAGCTACTACACATGCCTTATTTTCCACAAATATTACACTTTTGACAACAACAGTTAAATAGTATTAGACGTATAGTGTTGGTCTCAGCTTGCTATGAGTTACTGTTGACAAAAATTCTCAAAAAATACCTTCATGCATACCAAAAGCAAATTGTTGCTAATTTGTGAATGAAAGAACAACACACGCCTATTTACAAATTTTTGCAAGTGACTTTGCCCAACCACAAAAATGGTAAATAACCTATGTGGGGCTAGCCAGTGAGGATTTTGGATAATGCAAGTTTTTATCTTCAGAGTGCAAGCAGGATAAGAGAGGACACTCCTACCAGGGGATGATATCAGAGACCTCTGGTGGCCTAACATGTCAGAGATGGGACAGTCAATTTCCACACAAACATGGACAAAACAAGGCTAGTAACTTCCCAGACAACACAGTACTTGACGCCAATAACTATTGCCGCAACCCCACTGGGCCTCAGGCCAAGCCTAATGGTCCATGGTGCTATACTACTGATAGAGAAACAAGGTGGCAGTACTGTACTGTGCCATACTGTGGTAGGTTTACTTGTTTGTTTGTTTGTTACTTGTTTGTTTGTTTGTACAGATCATGTGCCGTTTCTAGATAAATCAAATTTTCACAATTCTAAGGGGGTAGTCTTTGCCAACAGATGCCATATATTATATAAATTCAATTAGAATTGGAAGCCCATGCCTACATGTACTATCATTGACTTCAACTTTCAGTTGCTCAAGTTTCAGTTGAAAATGCGTATTTCTATTTGTATATGTTTGGCAAATCAATAACTTAAGCCTGACTATGTCGCTGACTGTAATCTGATGCTCCAGTTTAACATGCATACATTAGACAACTGTCAATAAACATAGATTTATTTATATAGCCATTAAATGGACTGACCAGTGAATTTAACCCTTGTATTTGTTTCATATTAAAATATCCAAGGTTGTGTATCTTAAAAAAACGACAATTAAAAAGCTTTTTATAAATTATGATGACTGTCAGTCTTGAACATAGAATGGTAAACTATGAGCTATTACTAATTTGTGAGACTTGGCAATGAATGTAAAATGAATTCAGAACTGTTGGACTAGGTTTGTAAAAAAGGTCAGATCTTTTGGACTAAGTTTATAAAAAAAAATTTTATCATGCATCCATCCAAAATATTTCAAAAGGTATTCCAATTCTAGCTTTCATATCCTGAAATAAAGGGCCCAAAAATGTTTAAACGGCTTTATAAAGTGTAGTCTTATAATATGTAGATTTTATATCACCGCTAGAAATACTGACACGCTATTGTCTTCAATTTCTTTGTGAATGGTGTTCAGCAGTTGGTGTTTGGCATCTGTAATAGTGTTTGGCATCTGTAACTGCATTCAGTGGATAGCATCTGTAACAAATGGCAGGTGGTGACAATTTTGCATGTTAATGCCTCGTTTATTTATTTTATGCTGATCTTCAATATTCTATTTCCAGAGCTGTATGGTTACTACCCCAGTGGCAAGACAACAGCAGCCCCTGGTACCTTTCCCCCAGGTATGTAAACAGTTCCCAAACCAAGTCTCTCAATCTAAGGATTTTTCCTATTTCTCCATGTTATTTTCACAGATGTAGATGCAACTGAACCATAGAACATTTATCCACAAGAGGCTGGAATACCCCAGAATTCATAGCTGAACTTCTCTCCATATAATGACAGTGTAGAGATAGGTCCATGTATGAAATCTGGGGTATTTCCTCCTCTCTTTAGCCACATGCAGGCCCGTAGCCAGGGGGGTTCGCAGGGTTTGGGGAAACCCCCCCCCCCCCTGGCCAAAAATTCTTTCAAAATCATGCAGTTTTTCACCATTTTGAGCACTTCTCAAGTGATTTTAGCCATATTTGGGCCAAAATTGTCAAATGTGGACCCCCCTGGAAATATTTGAAAACTGAACCCCCCCCTTGGCAAATCCTGGCTACGGGCCTGACATGTATGTACATTTTGTACTTTTAGGTTTCTGCCCAGCTAAAGTAGGTTTGGATCCCAGAGATCTCCCCAGACAGGGAGGCAACCATGCAAAGTTACTTGTAGGCATTCCCTTCAGATGTGATGGCTTCGTGAACAGCTTTAGGTAAGTGTTAGGTAATTCATCTCAACTCTCTTAATGAGGGATCAAGGCTACAGATGGTGTACATATATATCCTTTCAGAATACATGTTTGTTTTAGAAAAATTACTGCATTATGCACTACATAATATTGCTCATGAGTTTGTAACATTCATTTTACGTCGTAGCAAAACTCTAAATTGTGTTTTTTAGGTAATGTTATATTCACTAGGGCAGAGCATTTGTACTGAAAGGAGCGTTTTCAGTACAAATATGTACTGAAAAATGTACTGAATTTTTTAGTATATTTTTCAGTATAAATATGTACTGAAAAATATACTTAAAATTTCAGTGCAAATTTCAGTATAAATATGTACTGAAAAATGTACTGAAATTTTAAGTACATTTTTCAGTATATATTTATACTGAAAAATATACTGAATTTTAAGTGTGATTTTAAGTGCAAATATGTTCTTAAAAATATACTGAAATTTAAGTGTGATTTTAAGTACAAATATGTACTGAAAAATATACTGAAATTTAAGGGCATATTTAAGTGTAAATTTATACTGAAAAATATACTTAGATTTTGAATTACGACATCTTCCTGACTTTGACATCTATACCATGGATTTTGCTATACTCGAACAAATGAGGTTCTATGTTCATGTTATATATTTTAATTTTGATATCAATTAATTAATTTGCTCAAGCAATATGAGTGAAAATCTCATGAAAAACTTATTTTTAAGACTGAGAAAATTCGTACCTTTAATGTTTTTGAATTTTAGAACTTAATAAGGTAGAATGTATCTAGAAACCTCAAAAGGTATGGAATACACATGTTGTGTACGATCAGTTTTAAATAAAGGGTTTATCCCTCAGGAAATATGGGTATCCAAAACCTCCCAGTACATAACCCTTATATATGCATTATATTTGATAGGTTTGATCGGGCTAAAAATAAATTTATTGATGGAGAAAATGCAATCAGATATTATTACAGGATGCGTCTTGAATAGTTAAATCCAAAAACATAACTTACATTAAAAGGAAAACACTTGATTACAGTAAACCTAGCCTCTCCAGTTTGATTAGAGTCTGCTTTAAAGGATGTGTCTAAAGAAACTTTATTAATCCATTAACAAAACAAAATATTTTGACAAGGCAAAACAAACCTGATTACAGAGAGACTCTTTTAAGTTTGGTTAAAGTCTGCTGTAAAGAAAGCATCCAAAATAATTTCATAATGTTATAGCATTCCTGGGGGGGGGCTGGGGGGGGGGGGTTCAGGGGTCCAAGCGAACCCCCCCCCCCCCCGGCCAAAAATTCTTTTAAAATCATGCACTTTTTCACCATTCTAAGAACTTTTTGAGTGATTTGGGCCATTTTTAATAAATCCATAAACATAACTTCTAAAAAAGAAATCACTTGATTACAGTAAACCTAGCCTCTCCAGTTTGATTAGAGTCTGCTTTAAAGGATGTGTCTAAAGAAACTTTATTAATCCACTAACAAAACAAAATATTTTGACAGGGCAAAACAAACCTGATTACAGAGAGACTCTTTTAAGTTGGGTTCAAGGATGCTGTAAAAGAAGCATCCAAAATAATTTCATAATGTAATAGCATTCCTGTTGGGGGGGTTTCAGGGGTCCAAGCAAACCCCCCCCCCCCCGGCCAAAAATTCTTTTAAAATCATGCACTTTTTCACCATTCTAAGAACTTTTTGAGTGATTTAGAGTTTATAAAGTTTGCCTTACATTTACATTTTCTCTTATTTCCATTATTGGGCACAAATATTTCTCATTGCATATATTTATACTTAAAATTATCCTTAAATTTCAGTATATTTTTCAGTACATTTTTATACTGACTTTTGCACTTAAATTTCAGTACATTTTCAGTATATATTTGTACTTAAATTTATCCTTAAATTTTCAGTGCATTTTTCAGTATATTTTTGCACTTAAATTTGTCCTTAAAATTCAGTACATTTTTCAGTACATATTTATACTTAAATTTGTACTTAAAATTCAGTATATTTTTCAGTACATGAATTTGTACTGAAAAATATACTGAAAAAAATTCATTGCATTTTTCAGTACAAAAATATACTTAAATTTGTACTGAAACAAAACTAGTACATTTTTCAGTACATATTTGTACTGAAAACACTCCTTTCAGTACAAATGCTCTGCCCTAGTGATTTAATATATTCGTAATGTTATATTTTAATATATTCATCTGTGAAACAAATTTCTACATTGGACCCAGACTCGGCATTGGTGACCTTAACTATATGTATGACCTCTTTTGATGAGCTCAGGTACTAATTTCTAATTTTCTCACTTGATAAAAGGTTCTCTTTATGCCTTGTTTATAGCTTTTTCCGTGATGACTCAAGTAGTACTCCATTTATTGGAATCTGGCGACCAGGGGGTGGTCAGTCCAACTACACCCTCATGTCCCTGACATCACTTCCTGCCTCAACCCCAGGTAACAATTTAGTCATCTGCTTCAATGTTGATTTAATGATGTATTTTTTATTTTCTGCTTTTCAAATATCAAATGGAGTTTTAGATTTCTTGTATTTCTATACAATGAAGAGAGTTAACTTGCTGTTTCATACATTTTCTGTTACATTAGGTTCAGGGTAGGAGGGTTCAGAATAATAGGGTTCATGTTAGGCTTAGGATAACTTTGTTGAGGATAATACAGTTCATATCAACAGGATGATAGGATTCAAGATAATAAAAATTGATTGGATCAGGATGGAGAATTCAGGATAATAGGGAATTCAGGATAATCTTGAATTTCTGTATAGGAGAGTTAACTGTGTGATTTTTATTTATCATTCTTTTCATTTATTTCATTTCATTAGGTACCTTACAGACTGTACCCTTGAGCACAAGGCTTAGTGTAAAAACTGGTGACGTTATGGGAATCCATTACAGAAACCAGGAGAAGCTATCAGCTATTGCAAATGCTGATGGTCCAAGTGATGAGGTCGCAGCAGAAGAGCTGAATACTGTTCTTGGTGGTCCAGTTTTCAGAGAAGACATAAATGTTGGTATTACTGTGGATTTTAAACGTGCTAATGCTCGACAAATGTTGTTTGCACTCCAGGCTTCATTCACTGAGGAAAGTAAGTAGACATCGCACATTCTATCTATATTTTATGGGTTTGAAATTATTTATTTATATACAAATACTAGATTAGTATACGGTATACAAAAAAGGCCAGATATAAAGTTTAAACTACTTTAGCTTACATGTATATCATAGTTCTTAGTGTTATGTGGAAATTTTCAATTTGATCTCAATAAGTTAATTTTGAAGGACTTCTTGTTTGAAAAAATGTGAAGCTATTGACTAATTGAGTTTAAGATCTTCTGGGTTTCTTCTCTTTATATATAGGTTATATACCAAAACTTAATTTTGCCAATCATTTTCCTGTTTCAGAGTCTAGCTTCTTCATTGGTGCTGGGAAAGGGAAGTGTTTCGGTGATACCTGGATAGGCTATGGTATTGTCAGCATGAAGATGGAAGAATGTACAGGTAAGTAAATGTTCAGGTGAGTGAATGTGCAGATGAATGAGTGTTCAGGTGCGTGAATGTGCAGTTGGGTGAGTGTTCAAGTGAGTGAATTTTCAGGTGAGTTAATACACAGGTAAGTGAAGGTATAGATGAATAACTGTACAGTTGAGTTGAGTGAATGTTCAGGTGAGTGAATGTACAGATGAGTGAATGTACATGTGCATGAATGTATAGCTGAATATATGTATAAGTGAGTGAATGAACAGGTGCGTATACATATGTACAGGTGGGTAAATACACAGGTGAGTGAATGTACATAAAAGTAAAGATTCAGATGAGTGATTTGTACAGGTAAGTGAATGTACAGGTGAGTGAATGTGCAAGTGAGTATATGTACAAAGGAGTGAATGTACAGGTGAGTTGTGCAGGTGTGTGAATTTGCAGGTGTTTGAATGTTCAAATAAGTGATTTGTACAGATTATTAAATGTACAGGTTTTGTTCAGATGAGTGAATGTACAATCTTAGTGTCATTTTGAATCATTTGAATTTTATCTATAACGTTAAGCTTGCTCATCATCTGATGTATTTTTTAACATTTCAGGAATCGGGGGAGCATGGAATGGTCAGCCATCACCAAGCCACTGGGTGAAGTGTCACTTTGACTGGTGTCGTATAGACAGCTGGGGAATTAGGCCAGGGCTTGTACCCTCTAGGGTAAGTTGAGCAGTGGTTTTCTTTCTATTGGTATTTATATTTTTAAGCTTAAGTTCCAGAAAAGTCTGGAGTTGCTCCTGAATAAAAACTGTAACAAATGGGTCCATAGTTTGGTAAGGAATGGAAATGATGACATACAGATACCACATTGAAAAATAAGGGACTGCATGAAAGTAGGATAAAATTGATCATTCAAACATGTGTAAATTAAATCAGTCCTGTTGCCAATCATGGTCCCCTAATCATTGATTTATAAAGTGATATACAGTTAAAGGCGCACTTTGGGAATTTTCAACATTTTTGGGCAAAATAAAGACTAACATTTAAATTTCATAATATGTCCAATGTGTTGATGAGAACCTTATCTTTCATTTGACACCAACAACAGCTCAAATGGACCACATCAAAGCTTACAATAAATTATCAAAAAACATTTTCGATCTGTCAAGCTTTATATATCAAGTTTTTATCAATGTCATTGAAAGATAGCAGAGTTGTTTGTATTACATGATACATTCATTTTTATAGAAGTGTCGCCATCTTTTAAATCAATAGTAATTTAAAACATGTACTTTGTTTAACATGTGCATGCATGTCTAATGATCTCTGAACTACAAATGCTTTTTTCTTTGTGAGTTACTTTTTTCTTGGTTCAATATTAAAGCAAATCAAACTTTGTGTCATATTTGAGCTAGTGTGTGAGTAACACGTTTCAATGATTACTTTTTTATTTTTTCTTCTAAATTAAGTATAGTGCAGCTTAAAGTGTAGTACAACTCTTCCATTTTAGTTAGTAGTTACCTCTACTTGTCAGGAGGCCATAATACTTGAGGACTGGAATTTCTTCTATATTGCTAACCTCATTTTTTCACATTCTTTCTTCAGCCTGGTTTCTGTCCCGCTGGCACAAGGAAGGCGTATGGCACAATGCAGATGCCATTCACGAGCTGTAAGAACCTTGGTGGACGTGTCAATGGGAACCCATCCAACGAGGACTTGACAGATTGTCACCTAGATTGGTGCTTTACTGATAAATCAAATGGCTTCCAATACGTTCCTGCAACCATTGGTGAGTTTATGAATATGAGGGTTGTCCCAGAAGTAATGCACTATATGCTCTAACTTTCTTTAATATTCTTTGTTACAACTGAAATTTTGTGTATATTGCAATTTAAGTGTTATCTATTATATCCTGAAGTTTCAGCATCATACCTTAATGTTAGTCTGAAAATGGTTGCGATAAACTAAAAGTGTTATATTCCATTTTATCCATCCAAAAGCAGCATACATAAGCACATAAATATTCATTTCACAAATGATACCATTTGAAAGCTACACATTGACATGTCAATTGATCAGATATTTCATATAAGAACATAAGCAGTCATCTCACAAATTATATCATTGGAAAGATTACATGATCAGATATATCAAAATATTTTGGTATCTGTAGGTACATGTCCGGATGATACCCGCACAGGGGTGGGGAGTATCGAGATGAAGGGGAAGGAATGTCGTGACATGGGGGGCAAGTCCTACCCCAAGGACACTCCCCACGATGCTGAATGGACCCAATGTAATCTAGACTGGTGTGGCCTACCGGATGAGGGGATATCAGGTATGATATTGTAATGTATTGTATTTTGTTTGAAGGTGAGCGATACCGCTTGGGTTTATCCCATATATGTATCTCGTCGTAATTCATGTAGATAATCCTGACAGACCCAGAAACCCATCCTTAGAGAAGTGTTGTGTTCTTTTATGTGCACTGATACATAGCCATACAAGTAACAGCACACCGTACACACCTTTTTACGAGGCACGAACCACTCAGTCAAACACCGTGAATTACTCAATGCAACAAGCAAAGTGCCTGAACTGGGATCGAATCTGGGACCTATGCGTAATTTGTACATGCTCCGCTGAGCTATATGGGTGAACTGAAAAATTTTGCTTGGGATTCAACACATGTATTGCCTAGTCATGAAGAAACTTATCAAGACATTGAAACAAATATGTGAAGTGAAAATATACATGTTCAATAAATTTTCAGGAAATACATCGCAGGTGATTCACGTTGAAACACCTCCAGATTACAGAGCGTATTATGTTGCCAATCCTACAATACTCAGTGGCCATACTTATATACGCCTGGAGGTCATGACCTGTCGGGGCGCTATGATCTATCTCAGCCAATCAGAAACTGCCGACCTCTCAGGTGTTTACCATGTGGAAATAGGTGGCACTAACAATAAAAAATCGTTCATTGCAATGGGTCAAAATGGTGCTAAGAAAATCTATGTGGACACTCCGAGAATCTTAAAGTGTAATGAATATCGTCAGTTCTGGGTAAGCTGGATGAGAAGTGGTCCTAATATGGTCATATCAGCTGGAAAGGGCTTGTGTCCCGGGATCAACAGCTTCATGACGTGGTCGGACCCCGCACCTGTGCCTATCAGCTATGTAGGGATAGGTTCTTACACAGTATCTGGGGGGAGCTGGAAGGTCTATAGAGATGTCGCACATCCTGATTGTCACCAGCGTAAGGAACATTTCTTTCTTGAGAATGTTACATTGATCGTATTTTTGAATACATGAATTGCAATTTTCATCAACATACCAGTATATCATGTAACATTGGTGGCTGTACCCATTGAATTGTTTAAATAAATTTTTGTTGAGATTCTTAGATAGATGGCTCTCTCTTAAAGGGATTTACATTTTGTTGTGTAAAATACAGGTAACTAAACCTAAGATTTAAAATCATGATGTCTTTTTGGCCTAAATAGCCCACTAATATAACTTTAATTTTCAGAACAAGGACCCGTCTATCTTTCCCCTAAGAGTCATCCAAATCAAAGGCTCGGAATCGACTATCAACAACGTGTTTTCTTCAGCTCTACCAACTTCCACCCGTTCTACTTAGTAACTCCCGGTCTCACTTCTGAGAACAACACTGTTTCCCTGGAGTCTGGAGAATATGGAGGCTCATACATAAGACACTACAACTACCGGCTAAATATAGAGCATTACGACGAATCACGAAACCCTCATATTTTCGTTAATGATGCAACATTTACCCTCAGAACTGATCAATGGTTCCCTGGATACTACACGTTTGAGTCAGTGAATTTCCGCAACTATTATCTGAAGAAGCAGAATCCATATCCTGTGATTGGTCAGTTTGATGGCAGCGCGAAGTTTAAATCAGAGGCCAGTTTTCTTCTGACGCAAGGTATTTCAATTAACTCAATGGAAACAGAAAGGATAGAGTGTAAAATGTTGGGGGCGATCTTTTCAAAAGTCGTGCAAATGTTTCCATTACAATTCTGATTTGATATTACTTGTATTTTATGAAAAAGGTGAGATATATGATCAAACATTGAAGTTATTGAAGATTTAAGATGCAGAAATATCCAAATGTCAGAGCAAAAAAATGTAAACTTGTGACTTATTTTGAAAACTTACTTTCAACTCATCTTTATCCTTTCTTGTTCCTTTTAAATATGACTTAATAAGTTCATCTTCTTTTATTAAATTTTTCTTAGTATTACTTTTCTTGTCATTGCATATACTGTTTTATTAAAATAATAAGTACGCTAAAACCTGTATATTTCACATGTACATGTATGTCCAACGTGGAAAATCTTATTTTTCTGAAAATAATACTAAACTAAAACCTGTATGTTTCATATATATGTCCAACGTGTAATTTTATTTTATTTTCCTGAAAATAATACATGCACTAAAACATGTATGTTTCACATATATGTCCAACATGTGATTTTATTTTATTTTCCTGAAAATAATACATGCACTAAAACATGTATGTTTCACATATATGTCCAACATGTGATTTTATTTTATTTTCCTGAAAATAATACATGCACTAAAACATGTATGTTTCACATATATGTCCAATGTGTAATTTCATTTTATTTTCCTGAAAATAATACATAAACTAAAACCTGTATGTTTCACCATGGAAAATCTAAATTTCCTGAAAATAATACAATATGATATTTTCCTTGGCCAATATCATATTTTTCCTAGGAATAAAATTCATATTCTATCCCTCCCATTAGATAACCTCTATTTATAAAATTTTGATTCTAAAAGATACCCCGATGCGTCATTGTGAATTTGCAACTTTTAAAAAAAATGAAGAATCGAATTAAATGGCCAATTACCATGTTTTAATACTCAAATGAAATAATTTTGATTTGAGACATCCCACCCTTGTAATAAATACGAACTAGACCATTATGCTGCATTATATGCAAAATTGAATATGGCCATCGTTTTGAAAGTTGTATTAATAAAGAATACTGATGAGGGGCAACAAGGCCCGTAGAGAGAAAATTTGAAATTTTTTACTCTGAGCTATCAGGTCAACATTTGGCTTAACATCTTCTTTGACATACCTATTTTCTCAAAATGTATGGATAACTATCAATTTCAGCATTAAGAAGTGTAAATTAAGTTCAAAGCTTTTATAAAGGGTGTCCCACTTGTAGATTTTTAAGATCCACCAGGAGTTTCTTTATAGATAATAAAAATGGTCTAGCATCCAAATTAAACTTATAGAATATATTTTGACACTGGTCGATGATAGTTGAATGACCCCTCCGCACTAACTGTTGTACCTTTAAACAAAATATTTTAGATAGGAATGCTTAAAGTTCAACCAGTGAAACTTTCATGAAAAATTATTGAAAATTGAAAAAGTTATCAGGAAAAAGATGTGAATGACTTTATCCGTCTCAGCTACTATGAACACAGTAAATATAAATCTTATCAAATATAATTAATGAGAATTCTTGAGAATTTTTGACCAGGGGTTTGCAGGAACCCCTCGAACCCCTGATGGCTACAGGCATGTTATGTAATGGTATTCTAGTCAAACCAAAACCACGACTGCCTAACCAATCTACATATATTGTAAATCCGCATCCTAATTGCTTACTAGATTGTGAGGTATAAGTAGTTATCCCACTGAATGAAGTTTGAGGGGGATATAGGAAAGCCGTCAGTCTGTTTGTTCGTCTGTTCATCTGTCTGTTCGTCCGTCCGTCCATTCGTCTGTCTGTCAAGGCAAATACGGGTTGACAGATTTGATTCAAATTTTATAGGCTTATGCCTTATGGGTGAAGGACCTCTGCTTAAGAAGGAATTTTCAATATGGTCGCTCAATTCAAAATGGCGGAATTTGCTACTCCATGAAGTTGCTGTTTTTCTAGTTTGTATCAGTTATTTTCTATATAAAACAGTTATTCAGTCCCATGATTCATGTTTCTCAGTATGTTGATTTCTTAGTTATTCATATTACAAGAAGCAAGTCTTTTGAATTCTCTATTAGAAAGACAAATGTTATTGTTTGGAGTGTCGACATCAATTGACAGCAGCTGTGTTATTATGAACAATTTTTAAAAGAAACATCAATTTTTTCTCAGTCACTAGTGGATCAAAGACTTTAATTCATTGCCTATTTGAAAAGTCATATCAAAAGTTGTATGAAAACAACTCATAATTTTGCCCCCTGAGGTACTTTTTGCTTATACAGTAAAACCTGTCTAATCCGAACACCATCGGGACCGGCTTTATACGTTCAGATTAGGAGTTGTTCATATTTCAAGGTTTTTGCATTCGCAGGATTCCGGCACTCAGATACGAGGGGTGATCAGGAATTTCTGGACCGTTTGCTCTATTTTTGCCATTTGTTATCCTTTCTTTCTGATTTTTTCACATGATATAACCAAAATATATAGGATAACACCATGAAGAATTCATTGTTCTATGACATCATTATTCTATTATTTTTGTTACCATGGTAACTGGTGATGCGACAAGGTGGAGCTCAGAATAAATACCGAAAATTCTAATTCTTTAAAGGAGTAACCAGCATTTTGTAAGCATTTGTTATGCCTTTTCACTCAGTCCTGAAGACGTGACACAGACCATCTTTGCCTACTTTGTAACATTGGTGCGTGAATTCCTGAATGATCTCATTACTGTCCTCAAAGTGGATACCTCCTAATTTGTTCTTCCCTGTTGGGAAAAATAGAAATCACACCCAGCTAATTCTGGGGAATACGGTGCGTGTGGTACAAGGCCAAAGCCGATGGATACAATCACATTTTTTAGGCAAAGACGGTCTGTATCACGTCTTTCAGGACTGAGTGAAAAGGCATAACAATTGCTTACAAAATGCTGGTAACTACTTTAAAGGATTAGAATTAATGGAAATAATGGCAGTTACTACGAACATTAATGAATATACTTTATGATATAATACAACCTATTACAGTATGTAACATATTCAGCAATGAATACAGTGTCCAAACACCATATAAAACTACTGTTGATTTTTCAAATTTGGTATTTTTTCTGAGCTCCACCTTGTCACGTTACTGGTTACCATGTTAACAAAAATAAAAGGATAATGATTTCATAGAGCAGTGAAATCTTCATGGTGTGAGCCTATATATTTGGGTAATATTATGTACTGGCCTGTATAGGAAATTTATTTGACTCAGTTATACAAAATCGTCTTGTCTTTAATGCCGAAGTGCAAAATTCGCCAGACCCACTTCAGGGTGCTTATAAAGAAAATAGACGTACAATTGATAATATTTTTATTTTGCAAACACTAATTAACAAATTCAAGCAGCATAAGAAACCATTGTATACATGTATGATTGACTTTAGGAAGGCGTTTGATTATATAGATCGCTCGGTACTGTTATATAAACTATGTAAATCTGGAATTCATCCACAGACTAAAATGTACAAGATTATAGAGAGCATGTACTCTAAATCTAAGTCATGTCTCAAGTTAGAAAATGGAGTCACAGAAACTTTTGACACTGAAATAGGAGTTTTACAAGGAAGTGTTTTAAGTACATTTTTATTCAATCATTTCATAGATGACTTAAATGAAATATTACCACCCAGATGTGGTGTTACTTTGAATGATGCCAATTTTAATCATCTACTATGGGCAGATGATCTTGTACTTGTTTCAGAATCACACAATGGACTTCAGTTGTTATTAGATTCACTTTTTGCTTTCTGTAAAATTAATAGACTTATAGTCAACACTCTTAAGACAAAGGTACTGATTTTTAACTCTAAATATTCAGATCCTTTCACTTTTAATAATCAAGAAATTGAACGTGTAAATAAATATAAATATCTCGGTGTTATTCTTACTGATAACAATAAATTTGATATTAACACTGCTTATCTTAAAGAACAATCACGAAAGGCAATATTCAAAATCAAACAACAGTATAAGAAATTCAATGATGTACCACCCGATGTTGCTCTTCACCTTTTTGATTCATTAGTCAGTCCAATACTTTGTTATGGGTGTGAGATTTGGTATGATAAGAAACAGATGAAATCTATTGAAACATTGCATTTGTCCTTTTTAAAATCTATTCTAGGAGTGAAAACTCAAACAGCTAATCCTGCAGTATATGGTGACCTCGGTAGATTTCCCTTATCTATCAAAATTGAATTATCTTTGATAAAATACTGGTTAAGACTTATAAAACTACCAGAATCTAATATTTTAAATCAAGCTTATTTATATGGTCAAGAAAAACATGAATTAGGGTTTAAATCATGGTCTGAAAAAGTTTATGATATTCTTCACAAATGTGAACTAACAGAGTATTGGGATGACCAAAGTCAAAATACAGACAACTTAGTAAACTTGGTTGAGAAGAAACTAAAGAATGCATTTATAAATAATTGGAGAAATGATATTTTACAATATCCTATATTAAGAACATATAAGCTATTTAAGAAAGATTTTGAATTAGAACCATATTTGAAACTAGATAATAAAAAATATAGATTAGCAATAGGTAGATTTAGGTTAAGTTCACATCGGTTAAAAATAGAATCTGGAAGACACATAAAACCCAAACCTAAACCAGTTAATGAAAGGTTGTGTAATATATGTAAATGTGTGGAGGATGAATTTCATTTTATCATAAATTGTACAAAGCATTCTCAACACAGGCAAATATTTTTCAGTAAAATTCCTGAAATATTACCAACATTTGACTTGAATAGTAATGATTTATTTATAAATATAATTTCTAATGATAATATCATCTTCCAACGACATCTTGGTAAATTTATATACCATTCATTTAACAATTTAGAATAATCAGCAAAATTTGTGCATCACACTTTAAAATATTTTGCCTTTCTTGTATGCTT